TATTTCAAGTGGCATTAAAAAGTCTTAAAAAGTCTTGAATTTAACTCGCCTTACGCTGTAGGAACCCTGTGTAAAATGATAGCAAATATAGAAGGTAATAATAAGTTGTGAGTCCAAAACAGATTTGATTCTTAAGAAACGGGTGCAATACAGTTTGTCGGAGTGGAGTTGCCATATGATGACGTCATAAGAAGGGGCGTGGCCCCGAGCAGATCTGGTACCTAAACCCTCACACCTTTACGTTTCCTTCCCAGCCTTTCCCTCCATCAGATCTTCTGTGCTCATTTCCTCTCTTTTCTCTTCTTCTCTTCTTTTTCATTTCCCACGCTTGCTCGTGGACGTGCGCTTTGCACGAGCGGCCCTCAGATCTACAACAAGAACATGATCATGGACACCTTCCTGGGTCAGGTGGTCCTGTTCAGCGAGCCCAACGAGCGGCAAGAGCAACACACGCTTCACCTCCGAGACAAGGGCAGTCGCCAGGACAACGACATCCCAGGCATGCTCACTGTGCGCCTCTTCACCTCCACCACGCTCACCAACATCTGACGAGCTCCTTAAAGCGAAATGGAAATCTCAAAAAGCTCTGCGGTCTTTCTGACCTCACTGTGTCCTTTTTTTTCTTTCTTTTTTGTTGATTTTCAGCCTTTTTTGGGAGGTTTCTTAAATCTTCCCCTCATCTATATTTTTAAGGTAAAGGTGCCATAAGTACAGTCAGACTTTTTAATGAGTTGTGTTTTCATAGCATCCTCCTTGAATAGAACGTATGGTCAGAATTGTATCTGAAAGCTGACGTCTCTGTAGGTTGGAAGCCAGAATCTCGCCTTGGCTTCAGCAGAGAGAAAAAAGTTTCCTGCTCTGATCTGATTGTACAAGTCGAGTTTCCTCTTCCCTCATTTTTGAATTCATGCCTAACCTGTACATGTAGACGTAGAACACATATGCACACATTTCTGCACTCTCCATGCATGTGCCAATTTTCCAAGGGCTCTGCAATGCCTTAAGGCCGAGTCCGTCTCTCCTGTTTTAGGAGACGGGGGAGGAGTTCTGTTTAAGCTGTTCTTAGAGTCAGCCTCCTTTTTGTCTGACTTTAACCCCACCCCCAGTGTTTAACCCTCCCGCCCAGACACCGGAGCTCCTCGTCAGGTTGCAGGTGCTTCAGAGAGCATGCCACAGCCTGAACTTTATTAAGAAAAGCCAACAGCAGCTATTTCCTTCCTCTAAGAGCTTTTTTTTTGTGATGTGCTGCGCTCCCGTACAAAGTCTCGCCTCCCGTCTCCTGACACGTTTTTAAACTTCCTTGAAACTCTCGCTGCCGGTTGCTCTGGACGATCTTAACTGCATGGCTTGAAGATGTTTCTGCCTGTGCCGTACAATTCTCCAGTCGTAGCTTAGCAACCGGGTTCCTGATGGCGTTACCCTTTCCCCTCGTCGGAGTGCAAGGAGTCAGCTTGACATAAACCAAGTGCTTTATGGGACCAAAGATGTGCCAGGCCCTTTGCTGTCTACGTCCTGTTTGGAACCTTCTGGCCAGGCCCGGCCCAAGCCTAGCTACAGTACAAACCACCACCCCCTGTGCCACTTCATCTCTTTACGGCGACACCACTGCCTGACGCTTCCTTTGACAAAGAGTCTTATGGGTCAACCTCGCGGCAGACAGCAGCTGCGCTTCTGCCGTCGGCACAGAGCAGGCCGGAGTATTTAACGGAGAAAATGTGCGTCTGTCTCGTTTCTTTCAGCTCCGCTTTGAATTCGGGTGAATGCAAATCTGTGTATCCTAGTTCTATCCGGAAGACATTTTTTCTGTGGAAAGGTGTGAGCAAAACGGAGGGGGAAAAAACACACCTTGCACTTTAATTTATTTCAAAGACAAAAGAAAGGTTTTATCAAAGGAGACATGCTGCCAAACAACTCGTGCCATCATCTCGGTCTTGGCTTTGCCTCCACAGCAGGAAAGCAGAATGGATGAACTGATGAATTCACATGTTTTCTGCATTTTGAACCACAGTTGGTGCAAATTTAATTAATTATTAACCACGACACTTCCTGTGTTGGTCATGTGGCCACTCGGTCTGAGTGTTTCACTTATAACCAGAACTTAGTTTTATTTTGTGGAATGAGAAAAGCAGTCTTAGTTTTATGAAATTCAGAAATTATTTTTTGTTGTTAGTATTAATATTGTTCGACATTAGGAAACAAACTGTTATCTACCATCAAGGTATTTTTTTGAATGTAAGACCAGTCTATTTATGAAAGTATCAAATTTGTTTTTCTGTTTTTTTTTTAATACTGGAAAGTACAAAAATTACATTTTTTAAATTTGTCTCTCAGATTTTTGTCAGGGTCATACGCGGTCTGGAACTTTATAAATGTTATTCTGGTTTTTATACTTCCAATTGTTTATCTAAACGTTACCCTGCCTGTTTTGGACCATCAGTTTCTTTCTTTCTTTTCTTTTCTTTCCTCCCTATTTTATTAATTTCTTCATTATTTCATCGCATCTCTGCCTTTTTTCTTGTTCTGCATTTAAAGCCGCTTTGTGAATACATCATATAGACATAAATTCATTATAAATCTTGGTATTTATAGAAAGGAGTTTAAAAGGACTGACAGGTCGACGTTTACTCTGGTAGAGTTGGAACAATGGAACCCTGTTTTATGTACAGCATCCTTATAAATGTGTCCTGCATGACTTATTTTTCCGTTTGTTCATGACCTTGTACTGTTCAATTGTTCCTGTATCTAATTATTCTTTCTATCTCGAGCATCGTGAAAATGCTCGTTTTTGAGGAGTCAGCATGTCGACACCTGGTCAGCTTCATCTCATACGGATCACAAAGGGTTTGAAACATTTTCAGTATGTCTTGTGTTGCAGTGATGCACCCATAATGCCTGTAGCATCTGTCAACATTAGCAGCAGCTGCTGATGAACATCTAGGTGCTATTTATCTTCTTTGTGCTCTTTTTTTATGGTTTATAGTCTGACAGTAGGTGACCGGTGCACAGACATGCAGACTTGCAAAAAACAGGTTTTAACTATAGTAACAAACAAAAAAAATATAGTTTGGATTTTATTCACAAGGATACACACAAACAAAAGCCAATAAAACGTATAATGCACTATTTAAAGGAGAAGTCCAGTCGTATTCAGAGCTCAACTTCTGAAAGTACTTTAAATATGAAATTATTACAGACTGTTCAATACATGATAAGTGTTTTTAATTCAGAGTAATTTTCCATGTTTG